TCACAGCTGGCTGGCATTCGCATAAGGGATGTTTCTGGGTTTAGTCAAGCAATGCTAAAATCCCTGCTGTTTCAGAGTAGGTACAGTAATTTTGCTCGGTGGGACCAAAGGCAAAATTCTGGCATAGCTGAGATGAAAATTCTGGGCACAGCTGAGGTATGCATTTTTAAACAAATATTTGTCAATAATTTAATATTGTGAATATATGTGTGAGTTCACACAGCCATTTTGGAAAGCTGGGTAACAGACTCTATAGCCTGTGATTTGTAGGAAATGATGAACTACTCAGTCAGCATAATGAATTACAAGCAGTTATTTATCAAAGCAACTGATAAGGAAGACAGTTCCTGACTCTAAGTATGTAAGCTAAAACAGCTCACATGAACCATTTGCCAAATTATTTTGAACAAGCAATTCTGCAAAACCTCTGCTCATTGGACTGTATGATGTGCATAATTTATTATGCTCTATATAATGACATATTCATAAATGTTGCAGTCTATTTTTTAATGCTAAACAGCTTTTCATGGATACAGGAAACAACTATTTTGTATGCAATTAGCATTCAGTACTAATGAACTTCTGACTCCTCATTTTACTATAGAAGACACCCAGTAGACAAACACCTTTCACCAGCGAGTGCTACTAACTTCACTTGCCCTCATACATCGTCATCCTTTCCTAAAGAAATTCATTCTTGCCTAGTATGGTGTTCTCCAGTAGTAGACTTGTTTTTTTCTAGAACAAAATTTATGAAAGTAAAAGATACCTCATAAACCTTTGACCAAGAACAATCTCTGCAGTGGCATTCTGGGAATTTATTTCTAGAAGTAATTTTAGAAGAAACAGGATGTATGAGCTTGAGTGTATTATTTGCAATGTTACAGAACTATGAGAAGTATGAAATCAAACCTCTACCCGCCGCCCCCCACAACAAACCCTTGGCACAAAAGAGACAATAACGTTAAAAATTAAGCACACAGGCAGGAAAAGTAAATCAGTTCTGAGTATTTTTGTAAAAATGCGTCAGCTATATTGCTGCCATCCTGGACGTTCTTTTGAGTGATCTAGGTTTCATCAGCACAGTATCCTGTGCAAGTACCAGCCTTAAAGAGCAACTTTGTTTAGGAGTTGCATGTACAAAGGGATTAAAAAGGTTCAAACAGCTAAGTAGGATAAATAAACCCAAGGCTTTCAGGGCTCCTCAACAGAGTGGCTGTCATCAACACCAACATCTTGAATATTGCAGGGCAAAGTAGAAGGTAGTATGTTTTATTATGTGCTCCACTCATTTTTTCTGCAATGAAAAAATATGCTCAGAATCGGGTCTCCAAGTGAGGGACAAGACAGAGTGACCTACCCTTGTCTGCTTCTGCTTAGCTTTAGCAGGCTTTGTCTCAGTTTTAACTTAAAAATTTACTCTTACAATATGCAAGGTATCCAAAACGACTGGGGCAGAAAAGGCAGAGAACCTTCTGCCAGCATCCATCTCTGGTTTTAAAACTTGACTGCTTTATAATATGATACCATCAGCACGCCTTGTCTAGCCTACAGTTTTAATACAAGCTAATTAGAGTAGGCTGGCAAGCACATTCAAAGAAACATAGTTTTATATGTTAAATAGGTTGAAGCCCAGGAGGCAAAAAATACTGTTTGGTAGACAGGAATGCAGTCAAATCATGGGAGAACATGGCTGGGAATCTGGCAAGCGAGCGTATGTTCCTAACCACCTACAATTTTCTTTCACAAGGTTTATTGTGCAATCACAAGGCTTTCCTTTTAGCGTTATTAGGAGAACTACTTGTAAATATTTACATGGCACAGACCTGTTCTGCAGACAAAGCGCCTGCAGGATGACATCAATTAGTAGCATCTGTCCTGGGAGACACTTCTTGTGCGCAAAGTTAGGATATGAGAAAAATGTTAGTTGTGGGCAAGGTCAAGTAGTAGGGCTGATTAAAATGGAGCCACACATTAAACAAGCAAAGCAGACCCAATCTCACAAGGAGGCCAGTGATTTGTTTGAGCTTCTGGGCAGCTCTAGGAATTTTATATGACAGACTGATGGTAAGTGGAAAATTTTCTCACAGTTACAAGCTCAGCGCTAACAAGAAGCATCTAGAATCAGGTTTCTGTGTCGTGTAAAACCAGCTCTGTTTTTTTTTTGCTGCTGCATTTTTGTCTGTAGCCTGAGCAAAAGCATCGCCCCTGTCAGCATTACTCTTTCTTCTACTATTGTACCATAGACTTCCAGATTTAATGTTGCACTGTTCAGTGACCTCCTTTCTCTTCAGGCAGTAGACTTTTTTAACTGTAATTTAACTCATACACTGGAGCATAATATTAAAGGGTAATTATTTCAGAAAGAGAAAGCAGGTATTTAAGTCACTCCAACTTAAAGACTGAAAAACTTTCACAGGAAGCAAACCGCAACATCTTATAGCCAACCGTAATAGTGTCATCAAATCACAATACTGGGCTTTTTTGTATTCAGTCGTTGCACGCAGATCCAATCCCCAAAGCTTGGCTTGCTGCTTGCCTTACTGATTTGATTTGAAATGGAGGTTTCCGGGGTTTGCAGGCTTTGTAGATCTACCAGGAGACACTGCACTACATAATATCAAACATATATGTAATATTACATATGCTTTTAAAAATATCACCACTCCAAATCCTGATTGATGTTCGACAAAAAGAATGTGAATGGCTAATATTAAATAATTGATTTGCATACAAAGGCCTGTTAAATATTTTATAATTCTTTATGGATGTCTTTGTAAAACCCACAGGAAGGTAACTTCACTGCCGGATGCACATAGCTGACTCATTTCTTTATCTTTTTATCCAGTTGCAGTCACAAGGGAAAATGTAATTGTTCTTATCAGGGTAACATTCTGTCAAGTTTCCTCTGAAGCCAAGAAAAGTATTTTATTGCACGTAAGATGCGTCTATAGAGCACCCTCTTGCATTAGGAATACAGCATTACAGCGTGGTGACCAGTAGGAACAGGATACTTGGTCTCCTTTGAATTCTAATTTTAAGTTGTCACACATCCCTTTACTCCGTCTGTCAGGAAGCACAGAAGAAAAAATATCTTAGCAGAAAGAAAAGTACAATGTCCAAAGGAACAGGGGGAAGGAGAAAGGACATACTGGCAAAAAGTGAACGGCTGAAGTCTTCCAGGGGTTTCTGCTAGGGTCTTGTGTATTGATTTAATAGAATAGTTGCATCACTCCATGAATGCTTGAACCTCAGCTCCGACTCAGCCAGGCCACAATGCTAGTTGTATTTCAACATGTAGCACAGAAGAGTTTTCATAGTAGTTATCAAAATAGAAGTGCCTGCTTTATATGACTGTACATACAAAAGCTTTGCAGTTTCAATTGACAGCTCACACTGTTAAATGATTTAACTTTTTCTTTTTAACTGGTTTCCAGATTCTTGCTGTCCTTCCTTTAGAAAGACAAATCACACCATTTCAGATTCATACCTCCAGGACAACCGCAGTAATATGCTTCCCCGAAGCTCCACAGGGCCACATGAGGTGTTTCTTTGTTTTCTTGGCAAAGTGGTTTTTCTCCTCTTTAGGTAATTTGTAGTAAATATTTCTTTTATAACAGCACACTGTCTCCTCCAAACCCATACTGGTCAATTTGGGATAACCTTTTCTTCAGCCTAGAGTGCATCAAGTTGCTTCTTAAGTGATCTCTTATCTCCTTGCTACTGTTCTAGGAACAGAAGGCTGCAGAGCAAGGATGTGCTTTGGTGCATGTTTCCCAAAGGACCTCACAGGGCTTTGTGCAATGCCCAGGCAAGCACTAATAAGCACAGATTTTTTAAATTTTTTTTAAGTTTTTTTTTTTTTTTTAAAAACAAAACGTGGAGCCATTCCCACATGACTCCTTCCTTTAAGTTTAGGGAAAAAAAGGCTTTCTCTGAAAACTTACATTCATTGTATAGCCTGAGCATAAATGAGAAAATGTGTTTTTAAAATTAAAGGAAGCCTAAATTAGTAAATTTAAAAAATAAACTTAATATTTTTATGTGTTCTCCAGTTGAAAATTCAACAGATTTAAGGAGACTAATCCTCAGTGGCAGTTTCCTGTTCACAAGAGTCATCCCTTCCTTCCTTAATGTCTTCATCATATTGCTTCCAGTTTCTGCCACTCCTGGGTGAATGTGCCTACTACTACATCACCCTCTCTTAGATCTAACTCCGTCTTGTTAACAGAGTGCTGCAGACTACAGTCCCCCCCAGAAAAAATCTTTTAGCTGGATCAGTGACAGCAGTTCTGAGAGTTCATTCAGACCCTTTTGATTGGTGACTCCTGCTAGGGCTGGACCCTCCACTGCAGTAGGCAAAAAAAAAAAAACCCAAAACACCACAAACAAAACCCTCCACATTTTTCTTTAGCTGACCATCCATTTATATTCTAACCACAGCAGCAAAGCAACAAGGAGTATGATTTTAAAAAAACGCAAACACCAGGCTAATGGTAGTGGAAAAAATGGCAGAAATTGTTTTGATGGCACGTGCAGTCAATAGGTATTCTCCAGTTCTTCAGAAGAACTGGGAACCATTGCAACAGTGAGGGTTGTGTCCTGAAGACATGCAGATAAAAAACAATTTTGCCTTTGGTTCCTCTTCAGTATGCAGGAGCCTTGATTCAACAAAAGATTTCAAGTTCTTCAATGCAAAATTACTTAATGCATAAATGTTTCCTGAGTGTTGATTCAATTCTATAGTTAAAATGAAATATGAATGACCTTGTTAGATCAGTATCTAGAAAGTACAGATATTCAACAACTCAGTGTCAAGTCCTTAATGCCTAGAAAATTCAGTCCCACACTTTTCAATTTCATGAAACTTTAATATATGAAAATAGTATTGTTTATTTGTCAAAGTTCACAAAAAATAAACTGCATTCACTTTTTCTTTACAAACAAAGCAACAAAAACAATTATAATTTATATAATTTTTTTATAACAAGAGAGGGATTAGCATTCTTAAATTAATTTTAATTTGGTGGTTTGCAAGTACTTGGCAATAAAGTTTGATTTTCATCCTAGTTTTTCTTTTACAGCAGTGATAAATAAAGCTTTTTCATATATGTTATAACAGGCTTGTCCTTCACAGCAGATCCATTGTCCAATTCACAGAAAAGTGAGTCTTATATCTAGCAACACATAACTAAGCAACACTTAACTGAAGACCACTCAGCACATTCGGTTCCCAAAGCACAGTGACATAAATGATTAACTTCCACAGACACACGGAATGCTGTAAGGTGTTCTGAGGCAAAAGACCTTTAATGCACAGAAGTCAGCTTCAGCTGTGCAAAAGCCTTCTGCTTCTGTAAAACAAAGATGGGTATTTCATACTTTCCCGAGACTTTTCTTAATGAAATACCCCACTAACTTCTGCGGCCTCTCCTGATACTCCGCCAGAACATCATGCGAGCTACTAATCTGATCCCCTTCAAGCCGATTCAGAAGAGTGACACACACTACGGCGGCTAGAAATTAAAAGACAGCATTAGTTAGGAATGACATTCCGGCGCTTCTACAGTCCAAAAGCATCAACATTTGAACGAACAGCTAGAAGATTAGAAGTATGAGAGAAAACACACCCCAAGAAAAGGGCGCACAGTACCATTAGATGCTAAGGGACTAGCATGCTGTGGATGATACAAAAAAAAGTTCCAAATAGTTTAAGACAACTGATCACTGCATTAATAAAGTAAGAGCTGTCAGGCAGCTGCAGATACTTATATGATGATTCTTACGTTTTTCTGAATAGGAACTGTATTTCACAAGTATCCAGGACTTGACCAGTAGGAAGTGATCAGAGACGCTGTTCTAGCAGATGTAGATACAGCCCTCTGCTCTATCTACCTTACCCCCAGCTCAAATCCTTGTGCTGTAAGTGCCGTCCCTCGGGAACCAGCAGATGAACTGCTTCAACATTCATGGATGGGGAGCACCGCAAGTACACGAGGATCTATCTCATGGATCATCTCAGGCTCATCTGCTGCCTTTTGGTAATCAGAGGTAAAATCCCTCCTCTCACTCAAGCTGAGGTCTACCTTCACCCTTCTGTATCTGGGGTTTCCACTAAGAACAATTTCCAGAGCACAAGCAGTAACACACATTACAGACCTACAAAGTAGAGACAGCAAAGAGGAACGGGGTCGCTAATAGCTCAGTGGTTGCATGGGTTGGGCTTTTAACCACTCTCAAGCCAGTGAGAACTGAGGATGTTTGATCCAGCTGATGGCCTTTTTGCTTGTTTTCCTTCATTTTGTCCTCCTTGAGTTTAAGGAAGTTTGAGAAATATCAGTGTTCTAAATTGGCAAATTCCTTGCCAAGGAAAGTGAGAGACTACAGTTAACATGGTAAGTAGAAAGGCACTATTTTACATTATTTGTAATTGCGCTTTCCCCCCCCCCCAATCTTTACTGAAATCTAGTTAGCTTGTGTAAAAAAATTAAAAACTCATTTTATGATTAGGAATGGTTTATTCACGATGCTACTAAAAATCTTCAGCTGTTTAAGAATTAAGGCCGTAAGTCTACACAAAATACTTCTATTTTCAATTTGATGTGAAAGTAATCACCTGATTGCTTAAGTTAACCAGTTGCTTCCTGTAAATTTCAAAAAAATAACTAAGAAAATTAGTGCTGTAGGGTAATTAGGTATTTTAATGATTTATGTGCTTGCCGTGGGCTGGAATAGCAAATGACAGAACTCAACCATACAAGAGTTATGTAAGAAAGTTTGTGTAAGTTGGGAATACATGTGACAAATTAAACAATCAGAGCAACAAAACTGTAACCAGAACTCGTTTTTTTATATGCAGAAGGTTTGTTAACACCTCATTTGCAGTTTTTACTGCAAATCCCCCGCAATGCAGGAAATTTCCTATAGCTTGAATAAAGTGATTTTAAGTTAGTTTACCTTTGATACCGCTGAAATTACACATTGCAGCAAATACAGAAGATTCCATCTCTATGTTCCTGATGCCAGAATCATAAGCTTCCTTCAAATACTGCATTTTCTCTTCTTCACTATACAAGCAGATTGCACCATCCAACCTGCCCTGTCCTACAAAGTAATTTTGTAAAATGTTCAGTGTGGTGAAGTCATAGAACAAATTCAGTTTCTAAAACACCCAATTATTGCAGTTTCCCCGATACAGTGTCCAGCTTTTACTACTACTCTTTATTTTCATGCGCAAGACAAACACGACAAAGTGATTCATAGCTATTTCTAGAACTTCTACATAGTACTTGTATTTTTTATAACATGAGTCATGGTAATCTAATTGGTCTTCTCCAGCTTCAATTCTCAAATTTGTAAACAGGAAACTATAAGCAGTAGTTTCCCACATGTGCGGCATGCATGAAAATTCAGCAACAAACTTTAAGCTGTATGGAAGCGCTGCATTTTTTCTATGTTTAATCATTGTCTGGAAAAACTGCCAGGCTTGGAAATGCTTTCCCTGATGCTACCTTAAAAGCATGAACATTTTATTACTTCCAGACTCTCTAAGGTAAGGGATGAAGAGTCTCTTAAGCTAACTAGCTAATACTATTATAATTTTTTTGACAAAATTATTCAAATTATTCAAGAGTAACACCTACAGATAGAAGAGAAGTAGGTTATGTACAGTAAAGTTACATTGCACGGTGTTTTACTCAGTATCTTTTTGTTTTCAGGAGACGTACTCCTAAATTAATGCCCTTGAGCTTGTTCTCAAGTTTTTGCTGTATGAGTTGAAAACATTACTGACACTTTTTTTTAGCGTAGCTTACACCTGTGATTGGCATCTGAGGAGATACACAAACTGACAGTGCCTGCTTCTGAGGAAGCTTGAGCACTGTTATGGAGACCACGTGCTCCCCGCTGCATTGCACCCTTCGTCACCTGTTCAGTAACAGCTAGAGGAAGTCCTATCAGGTGCCATCTACACCCTGTTCTCACAAGATTTGGAAGATGTTTGTGAACAGATGCGGGAGATCAGAAAAGCACCTGAACATCTGTATGTTTATCCAAAGTAAGCCTTGGAGGTTTGCCCCTCCTATGTAACAGCATTGACAAGACTCAGCAAAATACTATCTTCCGTTGTCCGATCACCACTTCTGCTCAAAGTGCACATGGGAAACCAGTTCCAACACTTCTTTTAGAAAAGCTTTACTTCAGATACTTAACCAGTGCAAAAAAACCCAAGCCCAAACCAGCCACAAGTAATTCTCACTCCACTAATCCTCTAGGATGCCTCAGTAAATCACAGAAATTTTGTGACAAACATACCTAACTGATCAGTACATGAAAAGTGTATAGTAGACCATATGTATTTCAGAGGACCTATTAGAGCTGGGGAAGATAAACCTCCACAAAATTAAAAGTTCAATACAGCAAACTGCTAAGCACAGTGCTTGATTATATGTGTATGAAAAATAGGTTAGTTGTGATTGACAAGACAACTCAACGTAGGGAATGCATTGTGTTCAGTGAACTGGAATCTTAATGTTAAAATACTATTCAGTATTTATCTACTGCCGCTTACCAATACACTTTTGTTAGTCTGTTGCGAGCCTTACCTTCGTAGAAATCCAAAGTGCACATAGTGTTTCCAATGACTGTATTGAACTGACCCATTTCTTTACTGCACTGCATCAGTTCCTTAGCTAGCTCTTCATCTAGGTTTGTACTGCGAACTACAGTCTTTCCCAGAATAACCTGTTCCAACTGAGGTTTGAAGGTGGCATCTACAGACTGCCTGGTTATAACCACCGAGCCTGGCTCCAGACCTGCAGTAAAAAGGAATAGACAGAGCTTCACAATGCAGCTAATGCTTTGTTTCCGCACACATAAAACATACATCTTGACCCAATCCTGCTTCTTTTAAAGGTGGCAATTTTGCCCCTGCATTCACCAAAAGAATTCTTTTGTGCATGCCTAGCCGCTGCAGTTTATTATTACAGATAATTTCTGAAAGGATGAAATTCTTCCTTTTTCACTATATATTCTTTCTTATCTTGTACTTTTCATACAGGACAGGAACGTCCTTCTCCTCACATTGTCAGATCTCTTAAGTGCATTTTCTCTATCCAGAGGTAGATATTGCCTTTTCTTTAAAAATTACAGAAGCAAAATGATTCATCTCTTGCAGAAAACTGTTCTGACCGTCAGTCACTTACTTGAGAGTATAAGTACAAGAGAGATGCGTTACTCTCCTAGAAAGATGCTTTGGTCTGAAGAAAAAAAGAAATCAAGAGGGGAAATACCTATTCCACCAGAGGTGCCAATGCGAATAATGGTTATGTTGGAACACTTGGCATGATACAGCAGTTTGATCAGCTCGTGCAACATGATTGAAATAGAAGGAATGCCCATACCGTGCTGAAATGAAAGCAGAAATTCATACTCTACACTCACATAGACAATGCAAAATATATACAGAAGAAAGAGCTGGAAGATCTCTCCTTCCTGGTGTTTTTTTCCAAATGTCACCTAACTCACTCCCACAAAAACCCTAACCTATGGGCCTACTGAAAGGCCTCGCAGGTAACAAAAAGACTCTCACTGGCTTTGGTAGACATATTATACTTCACCCATAGTCTCAAAATTATGAATTATAAAATATTTACATTCTCAAAAGTATAAGCAGTATCCTTTCCTCATAGTTGACACATGCACTTCATCACAGAACTCTTCTTCAACACAAGGAAAACCCCACTCTGATTTTTTACCAACCTGAAGTGCCAGCAAATAGTTAAGCTAATTTTTTTCAAAACAGAGACATTGCAGTTTAGTCACAAAGTTCAGCAAACATAATCCCACCTTAACTTGCATGGTAATGCAATAATTACAACTCCAAAGAAAGGGTACAGAATGATACTACAGTTATGCAATTGCAAAAGTATGAAATTGTATATACAAATTAAAGGTATAAAGTTTTAAAACAGAACAAGAGTTGGTAGCACAAGTCCCACAGAATGCTACTCTTAAGCTACGTTAGCACACGTGACAATGCCACTGCAGATTCTTAGTGCTGGATGTGACCCAGCCATTTTTTCCAATACCCCACATGCATGGAGTGATCTTTTTTCTCCTGTTATTCAGGATACAAAACATGGATGAGGCAACAGTAAGTCTGCTCAAAAAATTTATAAGGCCATTCCTGCAACACCTCAGTGGTACACTGAGGAAAAAGGAGGCAAGAAAGGAATGAAGGTGTCAGAGATTTGCCTTGTTAGAAGAAAGGGCTAAAAAGGAATTAGCTGACTGCACTATTTTGAGCATGGCTGACACAACTCAAAAAACCTGACTCGGTCTATTAAGTGTTTAGCAGAAACGTTCACCCATATTTTCTACTTTGAACAGCATCGTTGAACTGTGCCCCGTATCTGGTTAAGTGAGGTACTTACACTGACTGACAAAACAGGTCCCACTTTGTACATTGTGTAACGGTCCGTTCCCGCGCAGATGTTAGGATAGTCACAACCAGGGCTCCCAAGCCCCAGTTCTTCAGCTATGTAGGCGATAAAAGCTTTCATCCGTGAAGGACTTCCTCCAACACACACAAACTGGGGTGAACAGTATTCAACAAATCAATTGCATGCTTTGGTGTATCAAAGAACATGCAAAGATCAACATGAGAATGCAAACACCTTCAGTTAAGACAAAGCTATTCCCAGATGTGGTTCTTCTCATAATCATTCTAAAAGGCCAGGAAGAAAAAAACCAATCCTTCCCTATAGCACTCAAATGTCTTCATCCTGTTTAAACTAGTACAAGACAGATAGTGGCTTAAAGGCCCCCCAAAAGGAAGTTCTACCTGAACAGAGACCACAGGATTTGCCTTTTTATTGGATGAAAAGAGGCGGTCAGAAACAAATATCCCAAATTTGCCCGATATTGAAAGTGAAAAGAACCCACAAAATCTTATCCCCTTTCCATTCACTCCTCAACTGGTGGTATGCTGACACATTTAGTCTTATTTTGAAGACAGCTACACTTCCACCTTCTGCAGAAAAGCTTGCTGAACAAAAGGAGGCGTCTTACCTTTACATCTCCAAACAACGCTGGAAAATCATGGGTACCAGTCCCAAGAGCAAAATGGTACAGGATGTCTTCTTTCATTTTCTCCAGGTGAGGGTTGCAAAGATGGACAAAATTCTCTCTGCCGGGACAGCAGCATTGTGAAACATACAGAGTATATACAAACCCCAGCATTGAACAGATGCTGATTTTGCAAAGTCAAGCAGGCAAAGTTGGGAAATGCCACACCTAAAAATGTCTGCCCTACCTTATTTTGGTTCCTCATGCATTACATTAAGGAAGTAAGTCCTTAATTTCACCACCACCTTACGTCTCATATTAAATCACATACAATATTTAACATTCCATCCATTGCAGAAGATGAAATTGCTGAAGAAAAGCCCAGATGGTAGGATGCACTAGCAACAGCGCAACCTTTACCTTAAACAATATTAAAGCTGTGAACCAGGGTGGGTCTTTATGGTGAGCAGAACAATGGGAGCAGGACCAGGGAATATTCATCAGACCACCTCACTACATGGACAATCTACAGCAAAGCTGAAAAGCAAACTTGACCTCTGTGTTGTGACTGACCCTCCGAGCCACCTGAGAGGGGTGGGAAGATCCAGGCTTTACAGACAGAGGATTTCTGGCAATTTGGCTCACTGTAACTTTGTGTCACCCAGCCAGCAGGAAAAAACTCTACGACATGAGACTGGTAACAAGAGTACAGAGGATCTGAAATAGGAAAGCGGCAAAAATCATAGAAGAGAAAAAAAAAAAGAATAAAGGCAAGAAAAAGGGAAGGAGAGGAAGAGGAAAAAAGAATAGACTTCCTCTTAAGTTGCTTCCTGTAAGGAAGCGATCCAGCTTAAAAAAAAAACCCAAACCAAACACTTTCTGAAGAAACAGGAAATGGCAAGGCAAGGAGGAAAAACTGAACTACTTTGCATGTGGGATCACCTTCATGGAAAATTTGGTAGTGGACTAACTAAGCAAGCTGAATGATTCATAAAATGTCTGCCTTCTGCGCTCGATGTTTTAAGTGCCATTGAAACAGGTAGGAAAGACTAGTCAATAATCACAAGCTTAAGCAAAATACTGGCCAATACTTCAAAGTAGTTTTTGAGAGATGAAATCAAGCAACAAATACCTTCCAGACACAAGAAGATGACTTAACAGCTTAATGAAGGCTCACTGCAGTCACAGCATGGCTCAGCAAATTCAAAATGCTTTGTCAGAGGAGACAAGAGAGTTTGCCTGCAGCTTACACAAGAAATTGTCAAGACTTTGCAGGAACAACTCTAAAGCCTAAACATAGGCATTTAGCACAACTTTAGATGTTTTACTTGTCTGTCTTCTAATGGCTAACCAGAAAGGCAGTGCTTTTCTGTAGGTCCCATGTCTTATATGTCAGTCCTGTGCAGGATGTACTGGTTACTTTAGGAAGCCTAGAGTGGCCTAGGTGCCCATACTGAGGTCACTGAACTATTCCTCAGAAAGCAAAGAAAACAGTTACAACCCCAATATTCTGAGCATAACAATTGTTTCTGTTCTCGAAATTCTCTCTCCAGTGTCACCAACTACCCAGCAGCAGCTGTGCAACCAGAGAAAGAGGTATCACCCTAATCCACCCCAGTTGTCCCTGCTCACCACAGACTACCACCTTCAGCAATTGAAAAAGCAGCCCAGCAAAGCAGGTGGTTCCTTCACCCCCTCGGTGGTAATTCCCTTCCATCTCCCACGTGCCCCATTTGCCTCTCTTCATATAAATCCCGCCCGAGGGAGAACCAAAGGCTTTGGCTGCCTTTGTTCTTCCCTCTGAGAGACCCGTTTGACTCCGGCAGAAATAAAGAGCAGGTTTATGGCTCTTCGGAAAGGCGCAGACAGCCCTGCAGTTTGCCAGCTCACTTGAGCAGAATTCCCTGGCTGCCTCCTCTGAATTAGTCCTGTTTGGTTTTGTGGGAGTCTATGCATACCTAATGGGTCACTCGCTAATGCAGATCAAATTTGATGTTTACTGGAATGGCTTTTATGTACAAATAGGATATGATCTGAATTCACTTTACAATTTGTTCTCAGGCAAGCAAAAAGTACTTCCTTCTTTATGAGAATGCCAGCAATAAAAGCTTCTCTCCAGGAAATAAAGTGCGGAAAGGTGAGGCCTCTATTAAAAGCACAGGGAAATTCATGCAGTATGTGCCACCACCACTGTCCTCACGCCTGGCCTAAATACAGCTTCCTTCCTCAGCAGCGACCATCCTTCACCTTTTTCATCTCCTACCCTACCAAGCAACGCTCGTCAACCCACCGCCTCGCTGCAGCCAGGGGCTGTTACTAACTTGTACTGGTTATCTGCCCATCCAGACCTAATTGCAGACTTGGACCCTGGGGTAAAATAGGCAGTAAAAGTAACCATATTACTATGTGTACACAGGACCAATGCCATGGGTTTACAGTAGAGGCAAAGTTTGCCTGATAAAAATCTTTGGCCTGTAACTCTAAGGAGCAGACAATTTATTCCCCTCACACTGTTATAAAGCACCTACAGCTTCTGGGGGTTTAAATAAAACACAAATATCTGAGGACTAAACATGCATGTAGAGTTTTACTACAGGAAGCTTAGAGTAAGGATTACAGAAACAGATTTAAATATTTGTTCAAACTCATGAAGCAGGTAGGTCTGGCCATACACAGCAACCAAAGTCAACATTGCCACAGCTCACTGGATTTAAAATTAAAAAGAAAAAAGCATCACCTATGCTTGGGAAAATTCACTGTAGTGAGGAATGAAAATGGCTAGCCAGGAAAGCCCTCTGCATAGGTCTGGTTAAAGCAGATAAAGACTCCATTTGTCAAAAGAGCTTTTACTAGATACTTGATGTTATAATCAACATTTGTATCATAAATTTTACCTTAAACTAAATGAGTGTGTTATGAGTTTGGGAAAGAAGGCAAATGGGAACTTGGAAAGGATAATTGATTTCTAAATCTTACTTTGACGTCTGTTCCGCATCAGTTTTCTTCTCGTTTGAGGCACCGGGAGCCATGTATGCTTATACCTAGAATTACATTAAAAAAATCAGATAGAAGTGCATCAGAATAGTCCCAGCTATAAAGCTAGCATCATTAGCAGTGGTGGAAATGAAAATAATGCAGCCACGCTACAGCTTTTACACCTATAGCAAAATGAGCATCTCCGATTTTTTTTTATGGACAAGCATCACCACTTCCAAGCCACCGAAGCCCAAACTAACCCCTTGCTGAGGTAAGCCCCATCTCACCACGACTTCTGTTCTCCAGTATAAGCAACAGCTGGCTCGCGGGCCAGAGCGCGGCGAGTCTCATAGCAAACTCACTAACCCGCTTTCTTCTGCACCTCCCGCAGCGGCAGTGTCTGCTCAACTCGCTTTAGCCCCCTTTCACCTCCAGCTCCAGAAGGTCTCCGAAGCTCCTCTCTAACGTCACACGCCTGAAACCTGAGTCCAGGAAGCATCTTACTCACTCCATCCTCTTCATTAAACTCCTCCTACCGACCTAAGGGCGAGGAAGACTAAACCAAACATGACTCCAAAAAGTCACAGCCGCACTAGGTTACCATCTCTCTTGAGTATCTTTTTTTCCTGATCCATTACCCTAGCCTGTACCAAAAACATTCTGCTTTTTGCATTTGCCTTTACATTCAAAAAGGCAAACGTATCACTTTGGTGCTGATAAAATGACAGAATTCTAAACACAGAATGATTCATTTGTTATTATTTCAGAAGTGACTAAGGCTACGTGACAAAGTTGATACTTTCTTGGAAATGCCCTTACCGGAAGTACTGAATCACAACGTTTTGCTCTACCCGCTCTTACGAAGAGCCTGGCAGCGCAGAGAGTATAGTAGAGACAGGATTGTAATCCTTAAAAGCCCCAGGATTACACTGCAGGGAAATAGGAAGAAACCAGTCTTGCAATAGAATTACATAACATGGGAATTTTGAAAGAACCAAAGAACCCAAGGAAATAAACCTGAAGTCTGCCCGTTAAAAGCCACTGAATAATGGAGATGCATTAAAATTTACAAAGACGATTAGTTTTCTTCATTTAAAATATGCATCTTTACTAAATAGACCTAAGCGTCACATGAACGAGATGTACTGAACATCTGCTAGAATCTATGCTCACGGAGGTGAAGTATAAAAGTTGCATTTAGATTCAGTCCCACGTCCTCATGGCCGGATGACTGGAGCCGGTTACCACAGGGTATCACTGTTATACCACATGCATTACGGGAAAAAGGTGTAATTTTTTCCAGGAGAACTACAGTGCTGCAAGTCCTCGTAACAAGGAGTTACAAGATAAGAAGAAACAACAGCAAAGTGATTTTTATGTACCTAGATGATAAATGGCCGCAAACAAACCGAGAATATTCATTCACCTGCCGTTCACAGTAGTAAGCAACCACCTGATTTCTAACAGTTCTGTGACTCCCTAAGTAAGGATGTACTTCAAAAAAAAGGAGAACAAAGTTCTGACAGTCCAAAGGTCCAGAGAACCCCCTCCAACTGTGCCCAGTAGGAGATGCCTTGGCAGAAATGGAAGGAAGGAGCAAGCATAAAGCACTTTTCCCATGGCAGCCCCTTCCGGCAGTCGGGTAGCAGCTGACAGGCAGTCAATTAACCTCAAGCTGCAGAACTCTCACGTTGCCTGAACAAACACGAATTGTCACAGCCACCTCCAGAGTTTCAGCAGCCTTCCTCAGCCAAAGTTAAAACCGATGTTCAAGAACAACGCGCTCACGGCAGGGCTCGGCGCAGGAATCATAGAATCGTTTAGGTTAGAAAAGACCTTTAAGACGATCAAGTCCAACCGATGGAATCATCGAAAGAAAGGGCACGGCCCACTCCAACGCCAGTGTAAATCCTCTGACCCGTGTTTTAAACCCACGCAGAAGCCATTATCGCTACTCTCTCTCTTGGATTTTTACCCCCCCCCCTTTTTTTAAAGGAAAGCCTCAATTAACAGTATCTTTAAGGAAAAGCTCCGGTTTGGCGTTGATCCATCCCCAGAAAAACCGAAGTCACCGAAGCAAAATCGGTTCCTGCTCCGTGCCTTCCCCCCGCAGCCCGTGCAGTCGCACCCGCTGCCGCCGCACGCCCCC